AATTGAAAAGAATGCAATGAGTGAATATTGAGGGATGTATCTGATTCATAGTGTTCATGATTTTATGAAAAGTAATTCATCTATCTCTTCTCTAGCACTGTAAATGTACTGCCTTCTCCCTTGTCTGTTGATTTATCTTGATCCCAGGCCCAAAAAGATAACACTTTTGAGAATTTATTAAAGTCTTTAGCTTTAAGTCTAGAGAATCAAAATAAAAGATTTAAATGTATACATTGGTTTGATTATAATAGTAAATTATTGGAAACAATAGAAATGTTCAATAGAGGATTGGTTAAGTATCATAACAATAGAATGCTATGCAACTATTCAAATGACGTAGGAAAAGAATATTTAATAACATAAAATCATGTTTGTGATATAGGACATAAATCATATTGCAAAATGGCATATGCTCTATGATTTCATTTTTGTAAGGAAAATCTTGGACTATGCATCTTTGTCTCCCATATCCTGCTGCCTTCCTAAAACATAGCCAATAATTTTAAGTGCAAATTATTATATCTCCCAGACTATTACAAATGATTTGCTTCTTTAGAATCATGTATTTCAGATTTAGTGAGAGAGAAAAGACATTGAAAGAAAAAAAAAAACTTCCTAGCTTTTTTTGTTTGACTCTCTACTTCCTGTGTTTAAGACATACACAAAATCAACTGTTGAATTTGGTGCTGCAAATTTATACATATAATAAAAAGGGTGAGGGCCGGCCGAGTGGCTCAGTTGGTTAAGAGCTCGCTCAAGAGTGCGAACTCTAAGCAACAGCAGTTGGATTCCCAACTCGAGCTGAGTTGCCGCTGAGCCACCAACAGGTGGCAGGATGGCTCAGCTAAAAAAAAAAAATATATATATATATATATGTGTGTGTGAGTGTGTGTGTGTGTGTGTGTGTGTGTGTGTATAGAGAGAGAGAGAGTGAAATAATATGTAATAATATTGCTTTTAACTCACTTTTTCAGTGTTTCCAAAATGAGTGTCTGACTCTTAAAAAATCAAGTTTTCCTAAAATCAAAGGATCAAGTTCAGAAAAAAAGGAAAAGTGGTGAATAATGCAGAGAAGTCAAGGAATAATGGAAGTGATCCGTAGAAGTAAAAATTAGATGTGGCCTAAGTGAGGGGTGTTTCTGCAGCATGATGGAGGTGGAAGCTAGAGGAACAAAGGAGGCTGAGGAAAGAACAAGATGTAACTAAGTATGAATAGAATTGAGCGTATTTTTTAAGGGATGGAAAGGAAAGCCTGAGAAATTCTGGAGACAAAACTTCTTTGCGTCTTGCCTGGCAAATATCAACTACACTCTGATGCTGGAAAGCCCATATATGGATGCTCGCTTTTTCAAGAGACTTAATTTTATTATTAATAGACTTTTTTTTTAAGAACACGGGTTTACAGAAAAGTTGAACAGAGAGTACAGAGTTCCCACATAGTTTCTCTTAGTATTAACATCTTACATTAGTGTGGTACCATTGTTAAAATTAATGAATCAATCTTGACACACTGTTATTAACTAATGTCCATTGTTTATTTAGATTTTTTTTTAAAGATTTTATTGGGGAATTTGGGGGAGGGGAACAGACAAGTTGCTGTCCTTTTGTTCTTCAGTCTAGTTGTGGAGTCTGTGTTGCTTCACTGGCCCAAGCTGGCACCATCATTGCATTCTTCCCGGTCGAGGCAGATCAGTCATTGGCTTCTGGACGGCCGCTCACNCTCTCTCTCTCTCTCTCTCTCTCTCTCTCTTTCTTTCTTTCTTTCTTTCTTTCTTGTTGGGCCTTAGTGGGAGAATAATTCTTTGATAAAGACCAGGAAAGGTGGATGTCTCTGGCATAGTCTTATCAGCTTGAGATTGTTTTTATGTCATTCCTGATGTATAGTATAGAAGGCAGTGAATGTGATAACAGATTGGGAGCTCTGCACTTTAGTTATTCTTGGCTATGAGGCATAATCTTGGTGTTTCCCCCTTTAAAAATTTTAAAGTCTGCAGTGTTCTAGGCATCTGTTCCTATACAAAAATATTTTTTCAGTGCTTACAATTTGCAAAGTACTATTATTGATGCTGGAAATTAGCAATGAACAAAACAGATCCTGCTCATGTGGAACCTGCATTCTAGTGGGACGATTCAAGCAAAAGTTATGTACTTCAAGTAATGTACTTCACCTAGTAGTGAGTGCCCTACAGAAAATGAAGCGGAGTGGTGTGATAAACATTGACTGGGGACAAGGGAGTAGAAAGAGGGGCTGGGAGCTCCTTAAGATAACGTGCTCAGGAAAGAAATCTTCTGAGAAGATTTAAAGGGAGACTTGGGTGATCGATAAGCGGGAGCCAGCAGCCACAGGAAGAACATGGACAGAAGGAACAGTAATGTAAAGGCTCAGAGACAGAAACGGGCTTTCTGGGTTCCAGAAATGGAAAGAAGGAAAGGTAGAGGGGGAGTGATACGAGACAGTGTCAGGGAGTTGGGCAGGGGCAGGGTGTGGAGAGCCCAGCAGGTCATATTCAGGAGTTTGTTTATTCTAAGCTCAGTGAAAAACCACTGAAAGGGGTCAGGCAGGAAAGTGATATAATCCATTTGATTATGCTCAGGAAAGGTGAGGGTAGTTGGGGATTGCTGATGTCATGACCAAATTAATTAACAAAGTCCAAGGTGGGAGAAAGAGGTTTACCTAAAGGCTTCTACATGGTGAATGGATTGTAGGGGCCAGAGTGGGACAAGAAGTGCATCTGGGAAGCCATTGTCATAGACTAGACAAGAAATGATAGTGGCTTAGTCCAGGGAGGTGACACCTCAACAATGAAATCTAGGGCTCCTCTGTTGGACCTCAGAGAGGTCCCTATACAACTTAGTTTCTGCCACTGATTATAAGAATAGCTTAGAGATTTGGGAAGAAATGAGAAACGTCATTGAACACCAAGGAATAGGTGCATCCAGCTTCTTTGTTTCTTTATTTTGCTCCCCTCATTTTAGCTTCTACTTCTTCCTATCACCTTTATTTATTTCCCATTTCTCTCTCCTGAGCCTGCCTTTTCCCCTTCACCACCTCCTTCTATAATTTGGAACCTATAGAATCAAGTGGAAAGTTTAGTCTTAAGAGATGCTGCCCCCAGACATCCTTTACTCAAGGAAAGGCAATTGAGTTTTTTCTTCACCCTTTATTCAACTCTTCATGTAAGAGCATAAGTCCTGTACAGAGTGGGGCTAACTAACCCTCTATTTTATTATTTGATGAAATTACGTTTAAGGCATAGAACCCAGCACATACTAGGTACTTTAAAAAATGTGTCCCCCCCCCCAACTTGCTTCCTTTCATTAGGCAGTTACTGTTAGAACATTTTCTAGTTTATTGTTTAGTTCTAGTTGCATTTCAATGTCTTCTAAATGTTTTCATGTGTGTGTGTTTATGTGTGCATTTAACATTCTCTATTTCAGATCTGGGTCCTTATGTATCAGGGTCTATCTGGTTAACTTCTGAGCACCTTGCCACACTCTACTAGGTGCCTCGATGGCCTTAATGAAGAAGAGGACCACAGGCAAAACCAGCCATATCATTTGTTGGGAACAGTACGAAATAAAAATGTGGGGGCCCTTGTTTTAAAATTATTAAGGATTTCAAAATGGTTATAGCGGAGCATTAAACCTAGCACAGGGTCTTTGTAAGCATGGGCCCTGTGTGGCAGCACAGGTGGCATGCACCTGAGGCCAGCCCTCATCCCAGGAGATGGGCGCCCAAAAGGCAACATTAGGGACTGAGAGGAGCTGCTTTGTTTGTGTGGGAAAGTGAAACACAGGGATTGCTGTGGATGGGACACTGTGGAAAGGATGAAGGGAGGCAGAACAAGATGGTTACAGTGGATCACACAAAGTCTGAAACTAGATTCTTGTTTTGAGCAGCTTGAAATAAATTTGTTTTAGTTGGAAAGAGAAGGACGATAGTAACTCTAACTTGAGACTCAATTTAGGGTTCTCTTCTTTCTTTAATATTCTTGTAACTAATCTAAATCCTTATCAGCAGAGTGATAAAGATTGTGCCAATAGCAGAAAAAGTCCCTTGTAAATTTGAGGGAAAGAGGTGAGTTGAAGGAAAAACTGATGTGAAAGCCCTATTTATAAAAAATTCTGGGAACGGCGGAGTGATGCATTGGTTAAGAGTTGGCTTGGGATGCCAGCTCTGAGCAGCAGGGGCCCTGGTTCGGATCCCACATGAGGGCCAATGATGCTGCGCCCTCTACAGCTAACATAGTGAACAACAGCTCAACCTGGAGCTGGGCTGCTGTGAGTCACTGGCAACAGCGTAGGCTACAGTAGGGCTGCAGTGGGCTGCAGTGGGCTGCGGTGAGCTGCCCTGAGCTACAGTGAATGGCCGGCAGTTGGCGCAAGCGGCGCTGAGTGGCCATCCAATGGTTGGCCAGCGACTGCTTCACCTGGGAAGAGCACAATGATAATACCAACATGGGCCGGTGAAGCAACGTCCTCCACAACTAGACTGAAGAACAAAAAGGACAGCAACTTTTCTGTTCCCCTTCCCCGATTCCTCAACGCTATTCCCCTCCCCCAATTCCCCAATAAAATCTTAAAAAAACCAAAAAACTCTGACTAGATGCATTAAGAAATTCAAATAACTCAGTATGTATGTCGAAACAATTTAAAAAAGCAAAGCATTTTCAGATTCAATTTTCATATATCTTATATAGCATTTACAGATTCCCATTGCATCATTCCAGTCTTTGAGCTTATAAAAAAAATGCACACACATTTTTAAAAAATGATTACTCAACTGATTTAGAAAAGCGATTCTTATGATTTTTTTCTTTTAAATGTCTTTTCATTTCCGGAGTCCTGGATGTTGAATTAAATAGGGCTGCCTTGAATTAAATAGTGCTGCCAGGAAGTCTGGGGCTGATTGAATGAATTCACCAGCTTGCCATTGGTCGAATGGCTTGTCTTCCATAATTGGTTGAAATAATTCTTTCCCTGTTGCTTTATTCTCTCAGAAACCCTCAGCAGGTTGTGGGGGGAAAGGAGACTTTGTGGAGCTGCTGGGAGGAACTGGATTGGACCCTTCCAAGATGACGCCTTTAGCTGATCTCTGCTATCCCTTTCATGGACCTGGTGAGATGTTTCTTTCATTACTATTTATGTGCCCATAAACATTATGTCCTTAAGTAAAATGCCTCACATGTTTTATACATGGGAAGGCAACTTCCACCAAAAACAACAACAACAACAACAACAACAAACCTTCAATTTTGCACACTGAGGCAGTGTGAGGATTTTACATGTACAGTATCAAAAATGCATTACCAAAATATCTGACATTGGGAGAAAAACCTGTGAAGTAACAGGGATGCGTGTTTAAGGTTGGCTCTAAGTAGAGCTATGAAAATGACAAAGCTTTTATGTTCTGTGCTCTTTCTACCTTCTTGAAGTTTCCTGCTTTCATCTGCTAGATGCTAAAGAGTTTATTAACTGAAAACTATGGTTCAAATAGTAGATATATCATCAATTAGCCATAGTATAATGATGAAATACCATCTAAACTTTCCCATATATATGTATATATGTATGTAATACTCATAGTAAGTAAATTGAAAAGTGATATGCTTTATTAGACATTCTCGAAACTACTGAACATCCCTAACTTCTAGCAGCAAAACCAGCCTTTGAAAGACCACTGCAAAGACAGAAGTAAATTCTGAAATCTTAACGTGATCACTGGTTAAAAAAAAAACATAAAACAAAAAACAGTTTTGTGCACAGTATGCCAAATGGAACCAGATCTTCTTTGTTAGGGATCAGATTTTCCATTTGATTATGCCCCAGTGTGCTCAGGGGAGGTGGGAACCACTGATCTCATGACCAAATTAATTAGCAAAGTCCAAGTGGGGAGGCAGGGGATTACATAAAACACCTCTATTAAATGTCACTCCCATTTCTGTACTTCAGATGCAGGAATCAGGATTATTCTTAAGTAGACAATAGTAAAACAGGAGAGAAAGAACAATAGTCTTTAATCGCATGGCGAATTTTTACCATAGTCCCCTTCCTCTCTTGTAACCACAGATTACTAACCCACTAGGTAATGAAGCTGCACATCAGACATCCTTTTGATCAGCGGTTGCCTGTTTTAATGAAAATTAGATTTGCCCACAAGTATTTTCTCGCTCTAAGCGAATGCTGGCACCTTAATAAACAAAAACACTCTGAAATACAATTAATATGCACAGGTAAACACTAAGACTCAATATATAGTCCACTGTCCTGCAGATACATATGTATAAAAAGAGTTCCAGATGAGATTTAAGGCCGGACTGGGCCTAAGACAAGCTTTCTAGTCAAGGCAAAGGCAAGAGGATTCTAAAAACTCACTTTACTGAAAACTCAGGAATTATTTTATGCTAATTTACACGTGAGCTCTGGTGTAAATTGTCAGTGCATGTGGCTTCTCTTGCCCTTTGCATGTGTTCTCTGAGGCACTGGATCTTTCCATGTTAATGGACACCTGTGAGCAGGAGCATTTGAGCTGGGTAAGATTAGATTAAGGACTAAAGAACACTGACGTCTTCAAATTGAGATATTTGAAGCCAGAGTAATTTTGGCGCTTGAATTATATGACTTGAATTAGATAAGAAGGTAAGACTAAGTGCAAAAAAACCCCACCTCTGCTGCCTAAATTATCTAGAAAATTGGAACTAGTTTTAAGTTAATCTGAAGGCTTGAATTCTATGACTCATTTTAGACTTTACTTTTTTTCTTTCATTTACCATGTTTCCATGAGACCCTTCTAAGTTGTTCAGGCAATGAAGAACTTTTAGGGGCCCTGCCCTTTAAATTGGATGTTATTAGGAAGTATGTCAAAGAATAAATAAACAATATGCATATTAACTGAAGGAAATAGGACATGTTATGTAGATTAAAGTTCAGAGTGAGATCAGAAAAAGAATGACCTTCCAAATCATTTAAGGAAAATTAAATTTGGATCTCCTCAAAGAAGCATAACACAGACTCCCTGGTGCTTATATTAAAGTAATTATAGAGTTTATATTTATTAGGTCTCCAAATTGACTTTTACTTCAATACATAACTCTGTCTGGCTGTTTTACTACTTTAAATTCAGGCACACATGTTTGCAAAGTACCAGCTCTACAATAATGCCTGTGTTTCTCAGAATTAAGGCTTTATGGAAATAAAGTGGAGGGAAAAAAAGAGATTGGGAAAGTTAAAACAGCAGAAAGCATTAATGTAGGGCAGATAAATCTTGCCTTAAGAACTAGCTTGAGGCTGGAGGAATAAAATAAAGGTAATTTTTAATAAAAATAATATGAGTTTCAATATATAACTTGCTCAGGCACATCTGCACTAGAAGATACATAAACATTGCCAGATGCTTATACAAATAATGAATAAGACTGGATTTAAGAGAAGTAAGGGTATCAAAAGCCATTCTACCTACGAAGCATAGAAAAAAAAATGAGAGCAAAAAGGTACAGGACAATAAAACAAAAACGAATATATTCAGTGTAGTATATCTAAACCATGCAAATTATTTTAAGTACATGAGTATGTGATTACATGATACATTCCCTCACTTCCTTTATGTGTAAATGATCTTGTCAACACAAATGGTTTGACTATGTAGTTTCTAACCACTGGGGAACTTTCACTCTTTCCATGAATTATAGCCCAAATGAAAATTGGCTGTGACAACACGGTGGTGCGCATGGTTTCCAGCGGAAAACACATAAATCGTGTAACTTTTGAGTACCGTCAGTTGGAACCATATGAACTGGAAAACCCAAATGGAAACAGTATCCAGGAAGTCTGTTTGTCTGCTCTTTGAATAACCAATCCAATGATTTACATGCTGCTAGCTAAGTGAGTTTTTAAATGGCTATTATATATTATTTTGATAACCAGCTAGTTAATAGCCTTTCATACCAGTCAGTATTCACAGCCTTGAGCCCACATCTCTCCCTCTCTCTCTCTTTCTCTCTCTCTCTCTCTCTCTCTCTCTCTCTCTCTCACACACACACACGCATGCATTTGTTTTTGTACCTTGCTTCTTTTTCATTTGTAATATATAAATGTCCACATAGCAGAAAATAAGCCCTCCTTTGGTAGAAAAACAGTTTTCTGTAATCTTTTGGTATGCTACAAACCTGAACTAGTAAGACAAATGTAAAGCAATGTGTAATTTAAAAATGTATCTCAAGGGAAAACATTACAAAGAAATAAAAATGGCGACATTCATTTCAGTTTTATAACAGGAAACAATTGACTATGTATACCAAAGTAGTTGCATCTGTTTATTTATTTTCTGCTTAGTATTCTGTTTATAATAGGTAATAGTTGTAGTCATTATTTATTGATTTGCAGCAACTTGTTTTTAACAAAACTTTGTAGCATGGAAAAATTTTTTCCACTCATAAATACAAACATGAATAAATATATTCAGAATGTTGGCACCGTGATTTTGTGCTTTGTTTTCTGAGTAGCCTCCTTTCTTATGACCATCAGAAAATAATGTTTTCATGTGATGGAGAAACAAATGCTGAACAACATTATTTTAGACTTCTTAGAGCTAGTAGAGCCCTGGCCATTGAAGTTGAATTATTTAGAGCACAAGGTAGATTGCAGTGTTTGAACAAACAGCACTGACTGATGGGTCCTGACAGGGAAGCAGGATGCAGGATCCCTTCTCTACTGTCCCCCCAAAACATTTAGAATACATATCTTTGTCACATTGGGTGTACTTTTCAACAAGGACATCAAGGGCATTACAACTCTTATAGACAATTTGCAGAAATCCAAGTACTTCTTTGGTACTGAAGGGAGTTTACTGTTGACTGAGCCTTGTCCATGTTTGGCTTGAGACTACTAAGCATGTGGTTTATAAAAGACACTTTGGGGCCAAAAATGAGGTCCTGAGCAACAAAGGAAATACTTCTAAATGATATCCCCTTTACTTTGGATTAATGGATGGAAGCTGCAAGCTGTGCTATAATTAATGGCCTTATGATGATTCCCAAACATATTTAATATAAAGTTCATTTTATAATGGAATGTACTGGATCCCATACACTAGGCTTGTTAACAAAATCTGAAAACCAGGCAGAAAGAAAAATATTGATTGAAAATGCTAAAAATACCCAAGATTAAGCACAAAGTTTGGCTCAGTAGATATTTTAGAATGAGTGAATACTTTAGCAAATGAATTAATAAATGCCTGAATGGATGAATATGTAATTCCTGATTAGTTATATAAATATTGGATTCCTTATGTCATAAAAAACATTCTATGAAGTTGAATACTGTTATCTTTTTCACAGTCCCTCTAGCAACCTAAGAATCAATGCTGTCACTTATACCACTGTCAGAAATTTCTGGCTTTTAACCTTCAAGCTCTTCCAAGATGACGCCTTTAGCTGATCTCTGCTAT